GACACGAAACAAGAAACGAAGGAGTAGCAAATGATCTTGGTGATTTCGATCGGTAACGCTCAGAGCAAAAATGAGGGCAGGAGTTGAAGAAAAAAAAAAAGACACGAGGAGAACATGTAAAGGAGGTTCCAAGCAGAGACTGGGTAATGATGATCATTGTGGTGGCGTTGATGGGCTTTGTTGCGCTTCTGCGTGCGCACACCAGGGGGACGGACGGCTCTACTCCGCATGCGCTTGCACATGCTCGAATTAATAACTTTGATCTCATGAATTCTCGAAGGATCATTATCACCTGTGGGCAATAGTCTCGTCCGTAATTTTTTCATCGATTTTTTTCGTTCGCCTCGGCTATTGAAGTTGCACGGCTAAGATTGAAGGAAAAAATTATTTTAATTTAATGCTAAAGAGAACATTTGAAGGTACAGTGGAGGCTTCGTATAAGGTACCTCTCTATAAGATACCTCGCGCTCCGAGCGCTCGAGGCCTACCCCCACTCTCGGCACTTTTATCGCCTCCCGAGTGTTTATGTTCCGTGGACTTATTATAAGATACCTATGGCCCCGGTCATTTTTCAACGGGAAGAGAGTAGTTATAAGGATCAAACGGTGTTGAGGGTCAAACGGGAGGGACGAACGAAGTCATCATGAGGGTCTAATGACCTTAAGGGGGGTCACACCACTTTTTTCAAGTAATGGAAACATACATCGATTTTTTTTTCACTTTTCCCATCGAAAAATCGTAATTTTTCGTCTGTGATTATTCTCGAGTCCACCAACAATCCCCCAACATCAACTGCCATTCTATCACGCGGGGTTATGTTTAGAGAGAAAAGGGAACGCGGCCGATACAAATTCAAAACATTAAACACATAAATTGATTAGTTATCGATATTCATTCAGTAAAAATGAAAATTTCATTGAATTCCGGCGCAACGAGCGAGGTATCTTATTTGAAACCCGCTGATCCCTATTTTTCGCCTCTTTATGGACGCGCGTAGTGCGGGCACGGGGGTTCCCGGAATTCCACTCTCCTACTGTCGCTAAGGTATCTTGTACGAAGCCTCTACTGTTCTAGACTGTTGTAAATTTTTTGAAATTTAAGTAACAGATGCATTTGAATTTTCAATATTCTGAACTTAAATTCAATTTCATTGCCATTTTCTCCCTAAATAAGATTCAACGTCACTCTCATGAGATTTACTTAATATTTTCCGCGAAATTTCAAAAAATTTCCAACTCGTTTGACGTCAGAATCTCTGAAATTCTGTTGTTACTCATTTTATATGATCAATTATTAAAATGTTTAATCAATGTTAAGAAACTCTCATCATGGACCATCTCTATAATTTCTGCAAACAATTCTTTCAAGCTAAATTTCCGTGGGGATGTTCATAGAAACTCTCTTAATTGAAAAACAAATCAGACTTTTTTCTCAGATAAATCGCCAACTCTCGTTAAAATCGTCGGCTTAATTCGCCTGCGTGTTCTCCTGATATCACGTACGGATGTGCCTCCAGGTGGTGGGGGGCTATGAAAATTACACACCTTTCGATTTCACATCACCCGGAGGCAAATCACACGAGTGAATTCAACACACACGAGAAATAAGTATTGTAAGAGTCGTTTTAGTAATTCAAAGTGAATTCATTTGCGTGTTGTAATCCAATGTGTCAATGAGAAAACCTGTCGTGGGGATTTCCGACAGGTGGATGGTTTATCGTGGAAATAATTCAAGGGATTTTTGTTGGATTCGTCGAGTAAGATATCGAAGAGGAATTCTCAGTGTCAGGGGGGATGACAATGGTGATTAATGGGCTTTCGTGGTGGAGATGTAATTATTGGTGACGTGATTTTAAATAATTTTTTTCATTTGCTAATACAAAATTATTTGAAAATCATGTGGAACACATTCATTTGACGCTCTTTATTTATTTTTTAGAAAATTGCATTTCGAAATTTATGTATTTATTACTATTCTGCACACTGTTAAAAAAAAAAATTTCATGGACACTTGACTACCAATTTATGGAATTCAGGGGAAAAATGAAATTTCAGGTCTCACTGAAAATTCAGTAAAAGTCCAGAATTATAAGGGGCATCAAGGCGAAAATTCCTTAATTTATTTGAATTTTCAATCTAATCTGAATTTTCAGTGAAATCGGAAATTTCATGATTTTTTTTCTCCCTAAATCGCATTCAGTGTCACTGCCCTGAAAATTCAAGAATATATTTACCAGAATTTTCTGGTTTTCTATTCATTTTCAGGGAAAAATGGAACGGAAATGAACAATTCTGTTTGATTTTCCCACGAAATTCTGAATTTTCAATGACAAGATTTCCTGAAATTTCAGGGGAATTGGCAAAAAATTTTAACAGTGCAGAATATGTCTGCTGAATTAATAATATAATATATAAAAATTTGAGAAACCCCTCTTAATGCAAACTGAAATGACTTTAAATTTTAAAAAATTAGATTATCAGAGATGTATGGACGCGCGCATGTGTAACTGACCTAGCCCAGTGAAGAACGAAGGGAAGAGGTACAGGCGGAAGATAAAGGATTGAAAAAAAAATTGAAAAAAAAACGAATATATAAAGAAATGGAGGCAGGTAGATACTGCGTGTGCTATGGGGAGTTGGGAGGGCGGGATGCGTGGGTCACAGTGCCCCGAGGGCCAACATCGTGTGTCGAGACTCGTTATGGGCTCGGTATGAACGTTTACAGGGTTTATAAACGCGCCTGCACTATGCAGATTATTCTTGATGGTCAACATTCACGTTTTTTCGTGCATCCTCATTTTTTTTCCTCTGCCACGTCGGGAATTAATGCTTGCAGCAAAAAATGTAATGACGCGACAAAAACAGTCATCTTGCAATAAGATTTAAGATGAATATTTTCTAGGGACTTTTGAGGTTTGGTTTTTATTGCGATTGTTCACGGCACGGAGAGAAATATTCAGTAAAAATTACGGAACAACTCAATGGGGAAATCCGCAATGGGGAATCTTTTTCCGGCAATTTTTATAGAAATGAAAGGGAAGACATCTGAAACGCTCAGTGAATTTTCAGGCTCATCACCGAACAAAGTACGAAATTGTCACGTAATTTTTCCCGAAGAAGTAAAATCTTACAGAAACTCGCCGACTTATTGTGCCTCTAAAATCAAAAATTCTCGAACGTTCAACAATTTTTATGAAACTGGTGAGTTATTTCTACGTTCCGTTCCGTAAAGTTTCTCAATCGTTGGGGAAAAATTACGGAACGACTTGTTGTCCCCACAGCGGTGAGTCATAAGACGGTTGGTTAATTTTTAACAAATCGTAGAATTTACGTGGCGATTCGTACTATTTCAGTTCAGACTCACACTTTTTATTGAATTTTACTTCGCTCGCGAATTACGTTTCGAAACTTAATTTTTACTTTTTTTCTGGTAATTTTTATTGAATTTTTCGCTCCGCGGGACTTTTCATAGATAATGTTTATAATATTCCCCAGATACTGAAACAAATTCTAACCAACTGTACGACACATTTCCCTTGATCGTGAAAACTCCTACAAAAATATCTTGAGATTATAATAATTTAAAACATTTGTTTTTTTTTTTTGTAGAGAAAAAAAACTTCTGACATTCATTTATACTCTTTTTCAGTTCAAAACATTCAGCGAAACAAATCGTTTTTTTTTCAAGGAAAATTGTTCGTCAAGTGACGGAACGGGACAGAATGATTGTAAATAATGGCATTCTGTTTTTCAATAAATGAGGGAAAGAAATAATATATATACTGTGGGAAATGGAAAAGTGGAGCTATCTGCGAGTTACCCTTGTCATGGTTTACCTTGGTTGCAATGGTTGCACTGCCACCCACGTGGAGTCACGTCATAGGCGGTCGTCGGTTCGGTTTTATATATACACACTCAGTGTGTACCTTCATCCGGACGGTGATTATTTTTTTTTGGATTTCTCGTGCGCAGTGCTAATCGTTTGCGCTTTTCTCGGGTCCAATTATCATCGTGAGATTGTTAGGAATTGTGGATTCAATGGAAGAAGTCTTGAGGGGACAGACGATGCAATGACGTCAGTCCGCGTATTTTATTTTTTATTTTTTTTTGTGGATTGATTTAAAAGCTCGTTTTTTGTGTCGGAGGGACTGTTTATTCGCTTTTTAAAAGGATTTTTAGGAGTGAATTGATTAATTAATTCATTTATTTATTTATTTATTTTCATCTCAAATTTCATTTTTTTTTTCCTCTATATCGCAAGCAGTGTCACTGTCCTGAAAATTCAAGAATATATTTACAGAAATTTTCTGGTTTTCTATTCATTTTCAGGGAAAAATAGAACTGAAGTTTACGCTTCTCTTTCATTTTTCCACGAAATTCTGAATTTTCAACGAAAAAATTCCTTGAAATTTCAGTGGTACTTAAATTTGATAATAATTTCTAAAATGTGTGCCGGAAATTTCAGACAAAAATTTTCAACAGTGTAATAGGTAACGAAGAAAGAAATTAGCGTATGCTGAGAATAAATAAATAAATAAATAAATAAATAAAAATAAATTTAAAGAAATTAAAAAATAAAAAAAAAATTTTAAAATACAAATAAAAATAAATAATGAATAAATGAATAAATAAACCTTTTTTGGACAAAACTTCCAGCCCTACGAAAAAACCTCTAATATTTCTGAATAAACCACCCAGTTCTCAATTTATTTTCAAAAATAACTCGGACTTGTGTAAAGCCAAGAAGCCAACGAATCAGATCAGGAAGACCAAAAGAGACGACAGGTGTGCGATTGCGTCTCCAGAATTGCTGTGTCACACGAGAACTGTTTGTAGCGACTGCCGGAGATCGATGAGGAGAGCTCATCGCGAAGATCGCGAGCAAATGCCCAAAGTCCGTCTCACTTAAGCCCCCCCCAACCCCCACCGCCCGCACTCTAATTACAAAAAAAAAATCCATAAACCCCCTCTTAACCACAAAATTAATGTTCTCTGTCTCAGGAATACCGAGAAAGACGCCGTTTATCAACCCCGAGTGAGAGTCCAAGTCCCGGTAGGCCAGCCCGGCTGTCTCGCTCAACTGGCACATTGACCCACGAGGAGGCCTACTTGGACTCGACCAACACTCTCACACGCGAGAATCAAACTCCCCCCGAGTCCAAAGGCTGGTTCAAATCCCTCTCTCGGAAGAACAAAACGAGCACCAAGGTAAAAATTCCCAGAACTCCTCCCCTCCCCTCTCCCCTCCCCTCTCCTCTCTCCCCTCACCTCTCTCCCCTCTCAACCCCAACCGAGAGAAATAAAAAACGCGACCAAGTTTCGATGACTATCATTGTATAATAGGGGGATAAAATGGCGGGAGGGGAAGGGGGGGGAGGGAGTTTACGATGTTAAGGCATTAATCGGTCACTCTGTGCCGCACCATGCATACACGTCTGATAGTTACATGGAGATTTAAACGCGCGCGCCTTGACCACCATTAGGCCAGACCTCCAATTACCAGTTTGATTAAATGCTTAACTAAATTCCCCCCTTCGCTCTCTTTCACTGTGGTTTAATTTAATCGGTAGATTATGTGCAGCGCCGGGGAATTTAACATCAATTCGAATAAGAAATAGTGCTAGTGAAATAACAGGTGGCATCAATCTAGTTTAAACTAGATAAAATCGGTAATTGGGTTTTTTTCATTTCATTATTTTTTGCTTCAATTTTTTTCAGCGAATAATTCGTTGGATTATTCGGTATTAATGGGAAGCATGAGCTCCCATTTATCAGCTGGTAAATTCTCATATTACAGTAAATGATTCGCTCGTGCTCTGATTCGTATGCTCACGGAATAAGATTTTAATCGTAATTAGAATTCAGTTCCTTTTAGAACACAGTTTGAGAGGAAACTCCGTGCGTTCGAGATCTCCACCATGTTTGAGTTCTTTTCTGAGTTCTGTGGCTTCTTTTAGGAAGGATAATGCAAGGAAAAAATGTAACTGAGTTGAGAATATAATATGCTTGAATCAAGTATATTTTATACTCAATTGTGGGACGGGTATTTCAATTCGAAGATGATGGTTTTGTATCAGGCCGGGTTGTAGTTAGGCACTGCAGTCGTTACTCCCTAACATTTCAGTCGGAGACGTTGACTTCCCCCACCATCGACAACGTAAATATGCCTGGGTAAATCTGTGTGTCCCTCTGCGCGACGGGACTGCGCAGTAAAATTACTCTCGGTCCGTGAGAGTGAAACAGATAGATTCTTTCTCTCTGTTTATCTCTGGCCCAGCTCAGTCTCCAACGAAAAAGTAAGGGCTTCCCGAGCATTTAATTCCTTGAATTCTAGCCCCAGAGGGTGAAATGTTAGGGAGTAACCTCTGGAAGTGTCAGAATATTAGGGTTAAAACATTATGGTCAGAATATAAAAGTAAAAAAGTGGGTGTCAGCCAATGAGGGTCTAAATATAAGTCATATATTATGCTTGATCACCGTTTTGGCTTGATATTATTTAAATCCAAACAATTGCAAAGCTGTCATTGAAGAGCAATAAAATCATCTTTAAAAAAAATCTTGATGAAGCCTCCAATAATGGGAAATAATTAAGAAATAATTCAAAATACTTCCACAATTCACCCCGTCAATAAAAATGATTGACTGAATTCTCGCCAACAATCCCCAGAATGTCGACAAAAAATCACGAATACCAGAGAGTGAGATTATGACGACGGGAACTGAAGACGAGGAGGTATCATCAGCTGCTCCAGAGCGCATATCCGCAAACAAGAACATTCGTTTTTGCGGGGACACCGATCAGGAGTCACTGTCGTCTCACCGTGATCTACACAGGTATGACCATAATATCGACTCACCCCTTCATTCTCTTCCCTCTTTCCCCTTCTCCCTCGGCCCTTTTTTTTTTCAATACCACAAGCATTTCCTGTTTCCCCTGACCATTGGCATCCCACTCATTCCAAGTTGAGCCATAAACGACTTCTGCGGTCAAATTGATTCTACGAAGGACTTACAATGTTGTTACGTGTAACTCGGAGTTATACTCTGACGAAACGTACAATTAACGAGAGATTAAATGTATTTTTTTTTTCATTATTTGTGGGTGTCGGGGTTGAAACTATTCTATAGACGTTTCTATAGAAAATTTAAGAGGCTTTTTTCGGGAGAATTGTTCGAAGAGGTTCTGAGGATTCATGTGATTAAATGTATTTTTCAAAATTATTTGTTGGTGTCGGGGTTGAAACTATTCTATAGACGTTTCTATAGAAAATTTAAGAGGCTTTTTTCGGGAGAATTGTTCGAAGAGGTTCTGAGGATTCATGTGATTAAATGTATTTTTCAAAATTATTTGTTGGTGTCGGGGTTGAAACTATTCTATAGACGTTTCTATAGAAAATTTAAGAGGCTTTTTTCGGGAGAATTGTTCGAAGAGGTTCTGAGGATTCATGTGATTAAATGTATTTTTCAAAATTATTTGTTGGTGTCGGGGTTGAAACTATTCTATAGACGTTTCTATAGAAAATTTAAGAGGTTTTTTTCGGGAGAATGGTTCGAAGAGGTTCTGAGGATTCATGTGATTAAATGTATTTTTTCAAAATTATTTGTGGGTGTCGGGGTTGAAACTATTCTATAGACGTTTCTATAGAAGATTTAACAGATTTTTTCGGAAGAATTGTTCGAAGAGATTTGGACGATTCATGTGATTAAATGTATTTTTTCAAAATTATTTGTGGGTGTCAGGGTTGAAACTATTCTATAGACGTTTCTATAGAAAATTTAAGAGGTTTTTTCGAGAGAATTGTTCGAAGAGGTTCTGAGGATTCATGTAATTAAATGTATTTTTTCAAAATTATTTGTGGGTGTCGAGATGGGTACAATTCTATAGACGTTCCTATAGAAATCATTCCTGCAAACGAATTTCATGCCAAAACATCTGCAGACTGTTATAAAATGTGCAGTATATTATTATGTCCTCTACAGTTGTCTATATAATTATTATAGACACGACCAATCGAATTTTCTATAGACATTCTATAGAAATTATGTATCTAAGACTGCGATTTCTTAAATTTCCATAAAATCATTTTTATTCTATAAAGAACTAAATTTCTATTCTCAACCCCAAGTTTCTATAGACTCAGTGCATTTATCGGATCGTTTTCTATAGATTCTAAAAATTCATAAAAACATCCGGCGATTTCTAGACCAATTTTGCAGGGAGAATTGAAGGTCCTGTGACCGATGTCATAAGACTGAATTTCTATGGCTATTATTCTCGTTGCCCAAACTCTCACGTGACTGTGAAATTCCCTACGACCAACCTGCGGATTTTCACTCGCAATATTTTCCGGGATTTGTTGCAGAAATAAACGAGACGATCAGCACGTAACATCGAGACGTGAAAAAACGACAATTAATGCGGTACGCCAGGGAATTCTTAATGGAGCGAGGAAGCCCGCGAGGCATGCGGAGAGCGCACTATCCTCTGGTGAAAGTACCACAGGTGACAGCAGCCAGCAGAGCCAGAATTCACAAAGGTCACAGAGATCTGTTGTGTATCTTCACGCTGCGACCGGTGAGTTTGATGAAAGGAAGGAATAAGCGCGAATCATTTACCGAATTAATAAATTTACCGAAAGAGTTCAGGAATTTAATCGCTACAAATGGCTAAACATCCTTAATTTCGATTCATCGGATGCATCAGAATCATTTGATTTTTCATTTCCTCAATTTATCATTGAATTCATTCAACTGAGTGTCTCCCGCAATGAAAATCGAAAATTCCCCTGGAAATGAATGAATCGTGGAATGAATAATGTCGTCATGATTAATTATTTCGCATGAGTGATGATAATTGTTGTTCCATTCGATTTTTCAGTCGGCGAAATTCCAGGACCGAATGAACGCCGACGGGCCGCCAGCAGGGAGGAGCTCAATCGTCCATTGCAATCGCACACACGTACTGTATCGAGAAGTGTCAGTGTATTAGCACCTTGGAAGCCACGGCACTACAGAGAGCCGTTTGAAATTAATTACGATCAGCAGTATCACAAGCCAACCACAACGCTCCGACGCAGGCAGCGCAGTCGGGACGAGGCGACACTCGGGAGACGGGGCAAGGATCCATCGCGGAGGAGCAAAGACAATTTATCAAAAACTGGTAATCTAATTGTGCTCATCAATTACGATTATTTTATGATTATTTTAATTACGTGTTTTTGCGACTGGACTTTGTATGAGAAACAGTTTGCGGGGAATGTCTCAGGATATCACATCGCGAATTCATAAGCTCGATTTAATAATTCATTATCTTCATTTAATCTTTCTGATCTGATTCATTGCCTTATTGGTTTCACACCGAGATAATTAAAAATAAAATAGGTAAAAATAAATAAACACGTGATTATCATCATTACTATTCTACTTTGATTTAAATATAATGATAAATATAATATTATAATAATGTATAATATTCAATTTTATTAATATTTAGTGAATATTGTAAATATTGTTATTATTATTTTATTATACAAATAATTATCATAAAAATAATTATTTTTATGATAATTATTTGTAAAATAATGAACATTGAAATATTTATAATAGTTTAACTATTTATTTTTCCTTTGTTTTACCACAGGAACGATAAATCGCAGTACATTGAAATCTAAGGACAAGCAAAAAGTTGACAGAACAGTATCAACAGAGTCCCTTCAGCACAGTAGGGCCCCAAAAAATGGCACCTCCAGGGTGGAACTCAACAGGTCTACCTCAGTTCCACGTGATCCAAACAAGAGCGCTGGATGGTTTAAAATCAAGAGCAAAAAGTCACGCCCTTGATGGGATAGGCCATTCTCCAAATGCTAGTCTCGAGTTTTTTTTTTTCTCTCTTAATTAATTAAAAAATGAACTGGTGGGTGAAAACGATCAGTCGTTTTTCTCTCGCTCGTCGCCAATTGTTTAGCAAACACCCTTTCCTCGTAACGTTTTTTTACAGCTTCAGTAGACATTCGAATTTACCAAGTTTATTGTATTATTTTAAAACAAACAAATGCCTCGAAAGAATAATGTAACTACTGTTGAATCATTCCACTTAATTGAACTAATTTTTATTTTTCCTCTCTGAGATTTTCGTCTCGGGGGTTGCTACTCTTTTTATCGAGTTGTTTGTATACACTGCAGTTACACTGACACAGATACACAGGATGAATAAACAAAGGAATAAACAAATTGACAATTACTAATTTATGAGTTTTCGACGATTTTATTGTGATTATTTTGGAGGGGGTGAGCAGACAGTTTTCATTCTCTCTTCCGGATTTATCGCGTGTGAATTTTTTTGGGTGAGATGAGAATGTTATTGCTAAATTGTGAAAAGTGGTCAGAGCAACGGATTTCATTTTTTAGTCGGTGGAGAAATTGATTGGCATTTTTCAATGAATTCGGGCTCATTTTGAAGGAGTAGAGATTTTTGCAATCTTATTGCACCGATTTTTGGGTATTGAGCATTGAAAATGGTTTCTTTTGTCGCGAAGAGGCTCAAAGTGATGAATCAAAGTTGAGATAATTTTAGAATTTTGGGATTATCTAGGTGGTGAGTGCTTTTAGCGCAAAATCGTATAGAGAATTTTTTGTGGGGAATTTTATGATCTGTAAGGAAGGTCTTGTGAGATTCTACGCTAAATCCACTCGTTTACGAGATAATTGCGCAATTAACAATGACATTATACCGAGTTTTGAGAAATCAATTTTTTTCAATCTCCTAGTTACGGAATTATCTTGCTAACGAGTCCTCTGACGAAAAAACGAAATGAAACATTTTTGCAGCTTATGAAGTTCTCCACAAAAAATCTCTTATGACTTTTTCCTCTAAAACCCCTCATTACCGAGATAATTGCACAATTAATGGACTAAAAAAATTGAAAATGTAGCAGTTTCATTTTTTCCATCTCTTAAAAAGCGCAATTATCTCGATAATGACTGATTTTAGAGAAAAATTTGAAAAAAAAAAATTTCCAGAGAATTTCATAATCTACAAAAAGTTTCTGTGACATTTTCCTCTAAATCTATTCCCCACCAAGATAATCCTCAATTAAACAAGACGAAAAATTGTATCATCACGTTTTTTCCTCGTCACCCCTCAACTCTTTTCTCCATCGATTAAAAATTCATTAAATCAATTAAGAAATTGTGATACGCATATCGAGCATTCCACAAACCACTCGGAACTAAGACCAATCTCATTTGTCTGCATGAAACATTACCGTGAATCAGTGTGCCATTACATTTCATCACAACACAAATCAATGACAAAAAAAAACGCAAAAATTGCCGGATGTAATCAGTGCATTCCAATCACAATTCCCCTTAGTCCGTAAGTCCGAGTTAAATCATAAGATAATTAAGAATAGAACTGTTGCAATACATAATAATAATCCATTGTCAATTGTCTGTTCTGTACCGAGATTTTTCTCGTTCTAAAAAAAATGACATTACATTGTAAATACTTGTACTAATAATGCAACCATTTATTATCATGAGTCTATCGTTTTTTTTATTCTTTTCTGTTGCTCGTTGTTTCATGCAAGCCATTAATGTCAATGACAGGGGATCATCGGGAGTGGAGACGGACTCATTGTCCTTGGGATAGTCATGAGAAATATTGCGGTGTAATGGTTAAAGCAGAGAACACTTGGGATTTTTTGCTCATTATTTTCTTCACTAGCGGGATCATTTGGTTTTAGTGGTAATTGTTCCGGGTGAAGGACATTGGGAGGGGCCTGCATGCGGAAAAAACGACCTACTGCCACAAAAATAATTCCTTGGGCTAGGAACAGCATGTTCATTCCGTCAGTTAGCGATGAGTTTCAGGTGAATTTCAGGAAAATCTAGTAAATTCTCTAATGATTCTCTTGAATTTTTTTTGTCAAATTGAAATGTTCAATGGAAATTACTCCGTACAGCTCATTCTATTGAGATATTTTCGACAGAAATTCCTTGGCTCAAATATTGGGGAGGAAATGGAGTGAAAAAAACTTGGAAAATACATGTCGTTTCTATGGAGAATGACTTCGTAGAAAAAGTTGTGTAGAAAGATGATATTCTCATTTTTTCTACTAAATAATTCCTGAAAAATGCGCGAACTTCTTCATTCGATAGGAATTAAATAGAATTTTCTGTTAAATTCTCTAGGTTTTTCAATGTTTTTTTTTTCATGCGCGAATTTGTGTGGAATAAAAAGACATTAGTGGGTTGAAAAATATTTATTCCTCATTTCGGTGATTTCTCAAGGTAAAAAAATTGATTGACAGCGATTTCTATGATGCTGTCTCCCCAGTTGGGGAGAGTTTGTCGAGACAGCAGAGGGCTGTACCAGCGAGAATCATAAACGTCCCTATATAAGTGTCTGTAAAAAAAAACATCACCAAAATAAATTTGTAGATTATTAATCCACAAAACAATGAAAATATAATCTGAATAAAATTATATTCTGTGCATAAAGTCTCTCTCAATATTTTTTCAACTCACTGGTTCCACAGATATTCATCAGAATATTGTTTTTAATTTTTTGTCAATTGTGGAATCAACTAAATAAGTAGAAATGAATAAAATGAACGGATTCATTTGAAGAACTGGTAATAAAGTTTTAACTCAAACTCAAAACTCAATTTTTTGTCTTTCAATTCACATCAAATAATTTTAAATATGAAAAAAGTTTCCTTGATCCAAATGAAGATATTTAAAATCAAAATATTTATTAATATGCAGTAATTCTTTATTTGCATCAAATAAATCGTTTCTTCGATTCAAATGCCCCATTTCATAAAGAGATATCTTTCCTAAATAAAAAAGTAAAAATAAAAAATAAGTCAAATAAAAAAATTATATTTTATCCCTGAAAATGTACGAAAAGTAATGTTTTTCTCACTTTTATTCGGCTTTTCCTCTCCCAACCACCACCCCGCGAGTCCCGTAAACACAAAAGTAAGTGAATTCGCCACTGGAACGGCGAGAGATAAGTCGGTACTTCCCAGAGATGCCACGTACAAGAGAGACCCGCATTGGTTGATCGAGAAAGGCACCAAGTACTTGCAAACACAAAAAAAAATGAAAATTAATTTTGGATATTTTCAGTTTTTAAATTTGTCAACTAAATTGCATGGAAAAAATTTGAAATAATTCATACCCAGTCCGTATTATCTAAATTAAATTTCGCAAAATATTGAAATTTTTTCACACATTTCCCTCTCATAAATAAATAATAAAACTTGTTTGCAAAACGTTGGATTATTTTTTATGAGGTGTCAAAAAAATTCTTGATTTTTTCACATCTAAAGAAAAAAAATTCAGATTTTAATCTTTGATTACCACGGAAATCCTGATTTTTAAACATTTCTTTGAAAAACCAAAACGATAATTAAATTGAGAAAAAGATTAGAATTCCGAATCTACTCGAGTTTTCTGCAATTTTCTTGTAGTTTTCAATAATCTTTGAATTTACCGTGAGGGTAGAGCTACTTTAAACCCCCGCGAGTCACTTATCTCGAGCAAAAATTGTTTCTTCACAATAATCCTTCAGTTTCACCCCACTCTATCCTCGAAAACCTAAAAAACTAACCTTCAAACTAGTGAAAAGAAACAGTATCTGCTTGAAAAATCGTCCAATCGAGCTGGCGGCCTGTACATTTTCCACTCCAATTGCCCCCTTTTTAATGAACGGATTCGTCGCACCCCAGAAAATCGCGACAATCACTAAATACATCACGGAATCTGCGAAAAAATCCAACAAAAAATCGTGATCTAGTCCTCAACAACTGGAACATTTATCGCACCCTAAAATCGTACCCAAAGTCACAGCCATTTTAATCAGTTGTCTATCCGAATTAAATTACTCCGTTTGTCCCTAAAACCGCAGAAATTATTCAAAATTCGAGCCTCGGAATTTTTTCCCGTAACTCCCCCCCCCCTAGACGCGCGCCATTTTGGTTGAACTAGTTACCGACTGGCAGCAGTAGCGAACGGGCACGCGACGCATTCCCGGCTCAGTCGACGGTTCCGCGTGATCTGCGTCTGTTCATCGAGTGTTCTTGGTTGTCTGCTGATGTTATTGTGCGGCTGCTGGTGATTCGCGATGATTTTGGAACGTTAATGGTCTTTTCGACAGTGGAAAAAGCGACTGGTGATGTTACTCGAACGACAAATACGGGTGTTTTGAATTTTTTCGGTGATAATTATTCCTTTTTCCGGGTTATTTCGCTGTTGTTTCGATTGTTAGGGGGGGGG